TCAGTCTACTTCTTCCCTTGTGCTGTGCCCCCATTACTGGACTCTTCCATTGTTTCCAGGTTTTGCTACTACCAACAGTGCTGCATTGAATAACATACACACATCGGTGTGGCTGGGTACATGTGTTTCTTTAAGAGCAGTTCTTAGATTTTATATCTATAACTCATTATTTCTGTCCGTGACATCACGCTGTTTCCATGAGCCCAAGAAGAATCTCCTTTTTTTTTTTTTTAAAGATTTTATTTATTTATTTATTTATTTATTTATTTATTTATTTATTTATTTATTTATTTATTTGTCAGAGAGAGAGAGAGAGAGAGCGCACACAGGAGTGGCAGGCAGAGGGAGAAGTAGGCTTCCCACCGAGCAGGGAGCCCGATGTGGGACTCGATCCCAGTACCCTGGGATCGTGACCTGAGCAGAAGGCAGACGCTTAACCGACTGAGCCACCTGGGCGCCCCCAAGAAGAATCTCCTAATTGGTATTTCCTCTCCAAGTTTTTGCCCCTGCAAAGAATAATTGCTAATCTCTTGTCCCCAACTTCCTTCTGGAGATTAATAAAGAGAAACCAACACAGACTTAGGACAGAAGAAGCAGAGAACTGCGGCTTCTTAAACAGTATTACAAGTTATTACACAGGACTGTGCTAGCTAGGAGGTTTCCCAACCCTGGGGTATGTTATATGCATTTTAGGGCAGCGTCTCCCTACCCATGACATTCCCCAGTCCTTTTGTCAATCCCATAAATGTGTAAATTTGAGAAGGAAGGAATGAAGAGCAAGTAATGGAGCTGAGGGATGTTTTCTTTAAGTGGACAACCCCCTCGGCAACTCTGTCAAATCTAGTCCTTCTACTTCCAGTTCTCCATGGATTTTTGTGGCATTCTAGTCCAGCGGGAGCCTACCAATACCAAGCCATAAATCCACATGCCATTTCTCCCAGCTTTGATAACTGGAAGTTCGCATCCTGGCTCCAGTGGTAATGAAAGTGGGTTGGGTTGGGAACTTCCAAATTAGAGCAGATGCTGGGAGTAGGAGGAGTAAAAGTTACACTCCCACGCACATGTCTACAACCCAGTGGGGACAGAGCTGTATCCATTGGGAAATGGGGAGTCCAAGGGTGGTCTTAGAATCTAGATTCCTTCTTGTTTCCAAAGTCTTTTCCCTATTGCTTTCTGCCATGCCTCATCTTTCTGTATACTGCTCAGAATCCTCAAACTTCACTTAGTAGATTTGTTGCTGTTTTTGCAGTCCCATTACCCGCATCTCTCACCACCTCTTATTTTCTAATATATATTTTTAAAGATTTTGTATATTTGTCAGAGAGAGAGAGAGCACAAGCAGGGGGAGCTGCAGGCAGAGGAAGAAGCAGGCTCCCCGCTGAGCAAGGAGCCCGATGTGGGACTTAATCCCAGGACCCTGGGATCGTGACTTGAGCCGAAGGCAGACGCTTAACCGACTGAGCCACTCAGGCGCCCCTCACCACCTCTTATTTTGTCTAGCTTTCAGCAGAGTTGGGATAGAGAGCTTCCTCTTTGTTGTCCTTCCTGCCTCTTAGACAACTTCAAGTTTTAATCTGCTGTGAACAGAAACCAAAGCAGTCAGTCCTGAAATGAAATGTATGCAAATGAACACAGGCACTGACCAGTCAGACTGGATGCCAGATGTAGCACTTGGCAGTGTCCTGGGGCCTCCTTGTGTTCCAGCTGCTGAATCATGGGGAACATTCAGGAGCCTTCTAGGGGATGGTTGGCGGGGAGAAGAGTCTTCAGGAAAAAGTAGTTATTTATCCACAGCTCCGGAGGTATTTCAGTATTTAACAACCAGTATGGCTGTACATATGGGTATCAATGGAAAGTCTCCTTGAATACGTGTCCCAGGGGCCAAACTAAGGTAGTGTATTAAAGCATGACATGGTCCTGTGATACTCTCCAGGGCTTAGATGGGAGAGCTACTCCACCAACAGTTGCTTTTCAGCCCCTGGGTCTGGGTAAGTGGGAAAGCAAACTAGAAGTAAAATGGAGGCTCAAGTTGATAGAAAGGTCCTAAAAGTATTGACTAATATTGGGGCTTCAACTGTAATGCAGTCTCAAACCTAGGGATGAATGGAGTGTGGAAGGGTTCGTAACTTTCTGGGAGATCTAAAATGGATGAGCCAATAAAAGAAGGGAAGGGGCTGCAGATATGGAAGTGAGAAATGGCATACATAGGCTCTTAGTACATGCTGTTGAATGAAGGTAAAATTTAAATAACCGCAAGATGAATATCTGCTGACGTATGCTAGGTAGAGTGTTGAATTTTTTGTAGGTGTCATTTCAGCATTGCAAACATACAATATATCCCTGTAAAAACTGAAATATATTTTTAAAAAATGGGACTTTTTTTCGGCTTCTGTGATACATACCAAGAGCCCTGCCCCATTTCTCTGAGTGTTTCGTTCTTCCTTATGGCAGCTGCCAGCCAATAAGTGAGCCCTCCTGCATCTGCCATATTACTAAAGCAGTATTTCAGGGTCTGTGCACAAGGTTTCCTTCCATCCTCTTTCCCCTTGTGTTTTCGTTAGTGTTTAACTAGTTCACTTAATCAGTTACTGTTCAGCCCCCCAGGTAAATTTCTAGCGGCATATTGGTTAGGGATTGAAGTAAACATGACTCTTAAATTGGAATTTCTTTTTTTGTGTTTTACAGGGTTGTCTAGTTTCAAGCATCATGTGATTTGTAGGAAAAAAACCTAGAAAGTAGTTTCCATAAAGGGAAACGAGCTAAATGCATTCATTTATATGCCTCCTCATTCAAGCGGTGTGTTTCTAAAGACCCATTGTTACGTTTTTAGACCTAAGTGTAACCTACTGGGAAAGCTGTTTAAATGTTGACTTTTTTCTGGACATTTTTTCCCAGACTCAGGCAGTGCAAATTACCCTTTAGGGGCTTTAAAAAAATTATTCAAATTGAGATCTAATTGTACTTTAACTTGAATCATTTTCCTATTAAAGTATTAAATTGTTTTATGTGTAACTTAGAGCACACTATGCCTTCAAAACTTACTTGAGTTAAGTTTTACCTTTTTTTGGTACGGAGGCAAAAATCTAGACTTACTTAAGTACCTCAATATGACATTTAGGGTCCCGTTTAATTTTACTCTTCCTTCCTCGGCAGAGAATTTACACACCAGAAGCTTAACTCTTAATACACTGTTTTTTGAAAAGCCCTTTTGCATTTTGTGACTTTCTTTGTACCTCAGTAGTTGGTCCCCAGTGGGATAATCTCTGCTTCTATTCTTGACAACTAAGTTTTATAAATTTACCATTTCTTTCTAGTAAGTTAAAAAAAAATGCTGAGAAAAGAAACCAGTTCGATGTGGCATATGACCCACAGTTTAAGGTGTTTGTCATCCAGTCAGATATAGGTATGTCCGTGAAAGAGTGGAAACAATTTAATCCCTCTCATTAATGAAACCGAAAATAGTTGTAACATCATTGTCGTCATTATTATTATGTACTTTTAAGTATTTTATTTGTCCTATTCTAAAAATTATGAGGATATTTAAAAATTCTGGGTCTACACTTGTGCCAAATGCCCATTAAGTGGCCTCCCTATGCTGAAAGTTTTAAAAACAAATATAACACTGTATGTTAATTACACTGGAATTAAAATAAAAAAAAAAAAACATTGTTATAGGAGCCACTGACATTTTAGAAATCAGAAGGTGATCTGATCACATCTGTGTTCCAGAAACATAACTCTGTTTGTCCCGAAATGTTAACTATGTTTTTTGGTTTTTATCATAGGCTGCATTACAAATTGGTAAGCATTTCTAAAATGTCTTATTTTCACAATAATATCAATGGACCTACGCCTGGCAGTCTGTATCGTGAACATATGCTAGAGATTACAAATTTGGCACAAAGGGGAATTGTAATTAAATTAAATCTCATTTTAGTACAAGGACTGCATTGTAGCTACCAGACCTAGTTTTCAAAGGAAGTAAATTTACATGGAATAATAAAGTCCCTCCCCTAGATGTAACATTTGAAAAACACGTGAACTTACATCAAAAGTTACTAGAACACGGTACCAGTCCTACAATTCAGTCACTGTACATTGAAGAACTATACATTTTATAAATACCAAAACATAGTATCTTGAAGCGTAAAATCATCTAGTGAGATAACATACATCTTACCAGATAATATAAGTGAATTCTGCAGTTACAGTTACCTTCAGAAACTACTGGTAGGATCCTATTTAATAAAGAATGACTTTGAAGGAGGCTTATGAGTTTGGGCATGTTACGCTCTTTGAGTAAGATAGACACACTTTTCTAAAAGTACAGTTGTATAACGCAATCATACTTGGGCCACAAATCGCTTTTGATTTTCAGGCTTTGCAGTTCATTCACAAATACTATCAGTTGCCACTTCATTTTAATTCTTCTCATTAATGCTAGTTGAGTTCATCAAGAGACTGAGATGTTACGATAACGATGGACCGGACCCAAAGCACACAGGTTTCACGAAGTCCCTAACATTTCATAAGGTTTTGCAGTATTAACATTTCAGGATGCATCGGGTCCTAAGAAGTGATGAGAGTGATCACAACATTTCAGACCCCTACATTTAGGTCTGATTATTAGTGTTTAACAGCAACTGTCCTGCGGATTCACTGAGGAAGTTGAGAGGTGGCTGTTTCAGTCTCCTTTACTTGACTGGCCTTATTGCACAGTTAATTAAGACCTGCTGAAGAATCGCCTTAGGAATAGGGCCTGGGAAGGGAGAGCCTTTTATTTATTTAATTAATTAATTAAAAAAAAGATTTTATTTATTTGACAGAGAGAGACGCAGCTAGAGAGGGAGCAAAGCAGGGGGAGTGGGGGAGGGAGAAGCAGGCTTCCCGCCGAGCAGGGAGCCCGATGTGGGGCTCGATCCCAGGACCCTGGGATCATGACCTGAGCCGAAGGCAGAGGCTTAACGACTGAGCCACCCAGGCGCCCCAGGGAGAGTCTTTTAAATAATGCAAATGTAGTAGCGCATTTATTTTCACAGCTGAAATAGCTAGTTTTACCCAGTTTGGATTAGTGAGATCAGATTTGATGTTGCTTTCTGGGTAGAGAACTAAATACTATGAAACAACTCATTTTCTTGACTGTAATCTGAGCTTTTAAGTTACTAGGTGCTATTAAAGAGCTGAGCTTGTATAGTAAGTTCACATGCAGTTCCGTTTCCATAATTTTCTCTAATTATGATGTATACACAGAAGGACATAGAACATATGCGTACAGCTTAAAGAATGATTATCATGTGGGCACTCAGGTAACTACGGCTCAGATCAAGAAAAATTACCGGCATTTCGAAGCCCCACCCTCACCATGTGCTCCATCCAGAAGGCGACCCCTTCCCCTCCTCTGTACTTTTGTCATTCCCTTGCTTCTCTTTGTAATGTGGCAACTTACATTTGCGCCCTAAAACGGCATAATGTAGGTTGGCCTGGTTTCAAACTTCTGTGGAGAGAGTCGCGCTATGTGCCCCTGTGTTTGGCATCTCTCACTCAGCGTCACATGTCTGAGATTTCCTCCGTGTTTTTGCTCTCCAGGGCGTTTTCTTTAAAAAGGCTTTTCTGTATTTGCCCCTCTCCCTTTTTAACTTAGGATCCCTGTAACTCGCCTGAGTGCTCTCAGATAGCCCTACTTTGCCTCCCTAGATTTGCTGCTAAATAAGGTCTAAAGACTGAAGCCTGCCTGCACCCCGGTTTTGTGAACTGACCTGGCGGCCCCCGTGGGACGGCCTTGGTTTAGATGAGACTACATCTTTAAGGCGCCACTGCTCGGTTAAAAAAAAATCTTCCTTTCTCCAAGGCTGGTCCAAGGGTCTGGTCACGTGACTCCACCAGTGACATCACATTCTGACCGCCCGGGGAACACTGGTGGTGCCTTAGGTGGCATTTGTTCCTGCAAAAGGCAGAGAACGCAGCAAGTGCCCTTCTAAAGCAGTGCCTCCCGGGGCTCCTTCTAGAAAAGCGCCGCAACCTAAATGGCCAAATGCGGGCTGCCCAGGTTATTTCTTCCTTGAGGCAGAAAAAAAGAAAGCTGTGATTGAAGGTAAGCCGACTTGAGCCCAGCCCAGGACCGAAGTGTGACCCCAGGGAGAAGGGGATCTGGAGAATCACAAGCAGTCTGTTTCTCGGCTTCTGATCACTGCTGGCTCTTTGCAGAGCTGCCTGACAATTTGCATTGCTAACAGGAGACTATCTACAAAGAAGGATGATGCAGTGCTCATGTTACCTAGTGATGTAATAGGATTCTTTCCTTTCCTGTTAGGAAGCTGTTGCAGAGCTTCATTTTTAATGTCCTTAGAGCCGGGGGGCCTCCTTTGATACATCGTGTAACCTTAGATAGCTATTGGGTGCTTTTAAAAATCAGTTTCACCGAATCCTCTCTAAATTTCTCCTGAAAGGAGAGCCCTTGAATCAGAGCAAATTCATTTGGAGCATTAACCTGCTTTCAAAAGTCAATTTCTGGTTGTTTGGTGTCCTATGTTCATGTCAGCATTTGTCTCGAGAGTTGAAACAGCTTGTTTTTTTTTTTTTTTCCCCGCCCCCCCCCCCCACCATACTTTATTTTCTTTCTGCCCCCCTTTCCTAGCTGGCTGTTCCCCTCCATGCTCTCAAACACACCAGCATTAATGTTTATCAGTATGCCACTGACACGATAGGAAACTCTGGGCTGGTGATTCAGCAGCCAACCATTTTACAGCCAGGTAGGCTGGAAGATATGGAAAGGACTTTGATTAGGGGGTTTTAAGATTAACTTGCTCCCCTCCTCCACTCCAGCCCCACCCCCACTCCCACCCCCACTCCCACCCTCAATATGATTTGGATTCTGCAGAGCTTTTCCTTTTAAATGTGTGTGCTGCTGGTGAAAGGTATACCAGATGAGGTATTTGGAAGACTGACAGTTTGTAAGTCAGGTACAGCTTGGGGGTTAATTTCCACTTACCCTACTACAGTGCTGAAGTGTCTGTAGGAGTTTGGAGTGAAGATGGGGACGAGGCTGGGTAGGAGGGAGCTGGGTGTCAGCTCAGGCCCACTTTGGCCTTCTCTGCGGAGGGATTCATCACCAAACAGTCTGGATGAAGCTTTGTCCCTGCTAAGGTTGATGCTGCGAATGTGAGCTTTGGCTGGTTGAGTTCAATGATAGCATTACTCTGCATTTTTTCCTCAGCTCGCGTTTGCATAAATTCCTGAATACTGTTTTACATTTTGTGTTTAATAGAGAAATACTGTTTCACCAGAGGACAGGTGGAAATATTTGGAACAAGTTTGTCAAGCAATACTAAGTGACCTTGTGTGTGTACAGCTCCTGAGTTTGAATACTTCTTTCTCATCCCCACCGTTTGGCAAATAAACTTTGATTCCGCTGGTATTTGTTGAATCTTGGCTATGTGTTAGATGCGAGAAGGCAATGATGACTCAGATAGGGGGCTGCCCTCAAAGAGCTTCCGGTCTAGAAAGGAAGACAGAACATTTGCATAAGTGACTGTAATAGAAGCGCTGAAAGCTAAGCAGATAAAGGACTGCAGGTGGGCAAGTGGGTATGTTGCTTCCATTGAAGGATCAGAGAGGAACAGCCCATCGCCAAGCTGTGCACTGGTCTTTGAATCTCTACTTGTAAGTCTTGGGCTGTTCTGACATACTCAGTAAAAGTTTCTACAAGCCCATTACATCAGGGATCAAAGTCTTCCACCTATTGAAGGGAAATGTGTACATTCCAGCCAGCTTAACTCTTGAAGAGGCTGACATGCTTTCTTTGGCATTCCCACTCAGGCAAAAGCCACCTCCCAGAATTGAATTACTGCCTTACACATGCAAAATGGTTTCTGATGTGATATGTCTGCAAAGACCTTTGGCCCTTTTGTCTCCCTTCCATAAAAGAAACTGAAATACCTAAGCTGCTCTGCGCGCTCCTTTATTTTGTTTCATAAATCCTTTCCCACTACACTTCAACTCCTGTCAATTCTCCCCTTTGTACTGTCCTGTTCATCTGTCCCTTTCCATTTATACGGCCTGAAGGCACTCACCGTTTTGTGCCTAGACCACAGAAGCCTCTAAGTATGATGGATGTTCCCACCAATGATTATATTGCTTTATCAGCACACCCTAATTGTAATCATCCGATGGTTTAAGGACTCACCTTTTGGTACTCAGCAGGGAGGTATTAAAGTGTTTACAGTGTCTGAGGCACTAATGTCTGTTTCCTGTTCAATACAGAGGACAGGTCATACAATGGTGGAGGAATAGGTTCTTCAAATAGGATGATGGACTTCTTGGAGGAGCCAATCCCTGGTGTGGGGACCTATGATGATTTCAACACAATTGACTGGGTGAGGGAAAAGTCACGGGACCGGGATAGGCACCGAGAGGTAAGAACAAAGATGGTACGTGAGTTAAGTGTCAGGGAGCACCAGGGGAAGAAGTTGAAGATACGTATTCTTAACATGTGTGCTTTCCTTCAGCCCTGGATGTAGCTGAATCTGGTGTCTACTGGCAAATAAAACTAGGGTTTTATTTTTTACCTTACTTTTATTTTTAGGGCATCTTGTATGTGATTTTAAGAATTTCTATTTAACGGTGATTTATCTTCCTGTAGTAAGGTAGTTGGAAAGGATCCTTGCAGCCCTGACGTGAGTATAAGTGCCTAGCAAAGAGGTAAAAACCAACTTGGTGGAGGGGACCGAAGTGCATTTCAGAGATCTTCTTCCTCAATCTCATTTCCTTTTTATGGTTTTCCCTGAAACAGGAGTTTTAGAACTAAGAAAAGAAAGGGGGCTTCTTTCAAAGGAATAAAAGAAAAAACAAACAAACCTCAGAGCCCTGGTGTTTACTGAAGCCTACGGGATAAAGTCCTTGTGATTATGGCTCTTGTACAACCATAAAACAGAATGTACGCATTCGACTCAAACCCACAAGACCAATCAAATTCAAATTAAGGGCATTAATTAAATGTGATAGGTAGTAAGATGGTGCTCATGGCTATGACACAGATTCCTTTGAATTTGGTGAGGGAATTTCCCCACTTTTCTCTTGCCAGAGTCCCATGAAAACCTCTTTAAGCAGTCTGTCTTTAACTTGTTGCTGTGTATCATTTAAATCAGGGAATTCACAATTTCTAGCTCGCATCAGGGCCTGACGGAGAGCTTATTAGAAAGGGAGAGCCCTAGCCCCAGTGATCCTAGTTCAGTGGGTGATCCTCTGGTGAGACATTCCTTCAACCAACCTTAGGTGTGGTTCTTTTTTTTCTTACTATTTCTGCTTTGAGTCCAAATTTAAAATGAGATTTTTTTTAAGTTGGCCCCACTCTCTCCCGTGTTCATGATTTCCTTCTCTCAGAGCCAGGCAAGTCTCCTGAGCAGTCAGGGGCAGATAGCTTCATATTCTTAAGCCATTTCCATCTCCTGACTGGTTTTCTCATGATCACCGGAGCCTCGCAGTCAGGTTGTCCCCGGGAGAGGCTTTGAGAAATTCCTATGTAATCCTTGGATTTGTGATCATCTCACTTAATTTTCTATCCTAACTGAAAAAGGGGATCCCCACAAAAACACTCCATGATTTTCATAAGGTTGCTGCTGTTTGGAAACATGCGCACATACTCTATCATATCAATTCATCAGGCAGGCTTTAGAATTTCTGCCATCTGTAATTCATAGTTCAATTTGTCATCACTTGCATATTCAGCATGTTATTTACATTGTGAAAGTCACCTGGGATATGACAAAGGCATATTTCCCACTCTCTGAAAATGGTCACATCTGAGACACATTATGCCAATTAACAATAATTCAAAATCAATTAGAATGTGTTTATCAAGTGATCAAAAGGGACTTTTTTTTTTTTTTTTTTTTGCATTAAACTGTTCATCATCAGACTGGAAACACTGTCACAGAAAAAAAATCACCTCATCTACTTTCAGCACTAAAACTGGAAACTTAAAGTCATAGGTCAAAATGAATTTTTATTTTTTTAAGATTTTATTTATTTATTTGACAGAGAGAGACACGGCGAGAGAGGGAACACAGAGGGAATGGGAGAGGGAGAAGCAGGCCTCCCGTGGAGCAGGGAGCCCGATGTGGGGCTCGATCCCAGGACCCTGGGATCATGACCTGAGCTGAAGGCAGACGCTTAACGACTGAGCCACCCAGGCGCCCCTCAAAATGAATTTTTAAAATGCTTTTAAAGTGTTTATAATAATTTATCATTTTTGTGATAGTGCTATAGATGAAGATGGGGTAACGAAGTCACAGTTTCAAAGATAAGAAATAGAGGTGCAGAGAAGGGGGACAATGACAAAGCTGTCAGAATGCTTGGTTTTGAAATGTGGGCACTGAAGGGTTAAATTGAGGAGGCTAGGGCAGAAAGGTAGACGTTTCTGCACCTCTCAATTAGCCTCAGATATTCCCAGCAGGTTTTTTTTTTTTTAAAGATTTTATTTATTTATTTGTCAGAGAGAGACAGCGAGAGAGGGAACACAAGCAGGGGGAGTGGAGAGGGAGAAGCAGGCTTCCCGCAGAGCAGGGAGCCCGATGCGGGGCTCGATCCCAGGACCCTGGGATCATGACCTGAGCCGAAGGCAGACGCTTAACGACTGAGCCACCCAGGTGCCCCAGTTTTTTTTTTTTTTTTTAAAGATTTTATTTATTTATTTGAGAGAGAGAGAGCATGAGCAGGGTGAGGGGGGGGAGGGAGAGGGAGAAGCAGGCTTCCCGCAGAGCAGGGAGCCTGATGCGGGGCTGAATTCCAGGACCCTGGGATCATGACCTGAGCCGAAGGCAGACGCTTAACTGACTGAGCCACACAGGCGCCCTTCTCAGCAGGTTTTTGAAAATGCAGCGATGCATCCCTGATACCATTTAGTATCTGTGATCGGTGTGGGGAGCAAGTCTTGGAACTTGCCTGACCTGAAGCACAGCCCCAACAGAAAACCTCACACTGTACTTTCACCCCTCAAATAAGCCCGTGTTTGTCAATTGGAAAAACAGTCAGCCTATTTCCCGTGAGTCAGGAGACCATTCTTAGAATATCGGATGTCTGGGGTAGACAGAGACCACTGCAAAAAGCAAAACAAATTGAGGTGATAGAGAACTAGCAGCTGAATGGGGAATCCCTGACTAAGGTACTTGGAGCCATTGCAATACTGCAGAGAAAGGTGGGGTTCAGTAGGACAAGCTTCAGTAAACCTCCCAAGTTCCCGATGAGGTCAGTTCTCCCCGAGATTATTTGAGAAGTAACTCCAGATTGGTCTCTCTGCCTAATGAACAGATTTATCTTTGTGTTTCTTTACTGTGCATTTTAAGGTGAAAAAGCAAGCGTGTGTATAGAGTGTACCAATTTTTTCTCATTTCTCCCTAGATTACCAATAAAAGCAAAGAGTCGACATGGGCCTTAATTCACAGTGTGAGCGATGCGTTTTCTGGCTGGTTGTTAATGCTACTTATTGGGCTCTTATCAGGTATGGTAAACTGTGTTTGTTTTTTTTTTTTTTTTTTTTTTGAAAGCAGGAACACAAGCAGGGGGAGTGGGAGAGGGAGAAGCAGGCTTCCCGCAGAGCAGGGAGCCCGATGCGGGGCTCGATCCCAGGACCCTGGGGATCATGACCTGAGCCGAAGGCAGACGCTTAACGACTGAGCCACCCAGGCGCCCCCTGTGTTTGTTTTCTAAACAAATCTCCTAAAATTGTGGTGTGTTCTCTCCCCAAGTCATGAACTGAGTTGAGTGCTGTGCTTTACGGTTTTCCTACATGAAATAAATTGCTGGTGGACCTTGAGGAAGCTCAGTGTTCCCGTCTGTAAAGGGATACTAATACTTGCATCCCCTTCCTTAAATAAATGCGGTTAAAAGGGGAAATGTATCAAAATGCCTTCCAGTGATTGTCTTGAGGAGGAGTCCTTCTAATAGAGACAATCGAGGGTTTTTTTGTTAAAGATTTTATTTATTTGAGAGAGAAAGAGAGAGAGCACGAGCAGGGGAGGGGCAGAGGGAGAAGCAGGCTCCCCTCTGAGTAGGGAGCCCGACTGGGACTTGATCCCAGGACCCAGGGCCCGGGGATCACGACCCAAGCTGAAGGCAGATGCTTAACCAACTGAGGCACCCAGGCGCTCCGAGACCATCAGTTTTTGTTTGTTTTTTTTTTTAAACACATACTACGTGGGGTGTGTAAGAGGAGATATAGAAGAGAACTTGCTGGGAGCTTTTTGTAGCTATTTCTTAAACATCTGCTCTCTCATTTGGTGGTGAAGAACAACATAGAAGATAAGGCCCATGCCCTCAAGAAACTTATGATCTCACTCTTTCATGCTGGCGGACGAGTGGGATGGTACTACCTTTTCCTGTCATCTCGTCAACCTCCCAAGCCACTCCAAGTAATGCAGTCTAACTAGGAATAGTGCCCTTGCTGTGCCCATACAGCTTTTTTTTTTTTTTTTTAAGATTTTTTATTTATTTATTTGAGAGAGAGAGAATGAGAAAGAGAGAGAGCACATGAGATGGGGGAGGGTCAGATGGAGAAGCAGACTCCCCGCTGAGCAGGGAGCCCGATGCAGGACTGGATCCTGGGACTCCAGGATCATGACCTGAGCCGAAGGCAGTCGCTTAACCAACTGAGCCACCCAGGTGCCCTGTGCCCATACAGCTTTAAAGCAAGCTTCCAGGCAGGCTTCCCCTCCCACCAGGAAAGCAGAAAGCCAAGAATACCTGGCAGAGATACTAAGGGTTGTATCCTTAATGGCATTAAACGATGGGCCTAGGAGGATCTGGAACATTGAGCTGAAAGAGAAGTTAGGTGGGAAACCTGGAGGTAGATAGGATAAAATGGCCGTCAGCACAGGCTCTGCTTTGCAGCTACTGGGACTTGAATCCCAGCCCTGGCACTTGATAGTTTTGTGACTTTTGGCAAATTTCTTAACCCTTGGCAGCTCTAGTTTACTGATCTGTAAAATGGGGCTCGTAAGAGTACGTATAGTGCACGTTTGCTGTGACGACAGAATAGTGGGTCGATGAGATCTAGCACGGACTGTGCTCAGCACGGTGCCCATAGTTGTTAACAACGCTGCTGCTGTTACCTGGAGATGTTGTATGAGCCACAGAGCATAAGACGATTGCTGCAAATGAAGCAGGGCTCAGCCATAGCTGGGTTTTCAAAGATTATCTAGGGAAGGGGTCAGCAGGGTTTTTTGGTAAAGGGCCAGATGGTGAATATTTTAGGGTTCGTGGCCCAAATGGTCTCCCTAGGGCAAAAGCAGCCATAGACACAAGAGGTAAAGAAATGAGCATGGCTGAGACCAAGCAAAACTTTACCTGCAAGCATAGAGGCAGATTTGACCCCTGGACCATAGTTTGCCAACCCGTGGTCTCGGGGGTTAGTGCTACCCCTACAGGCTCGCGCGGGAGAGAGAATGTGGTCTGGCCAGTTTAGAGTTGGCTAATGATAGACCCAGTGGTCTGTAATGCTAAGTATTGCAGAGAGGCTGAAGGGAAGCAGGAGGGCTGAGAAAAGGTTATAAAGTTCAGCAGTTAGTAGGATACCAGTGACCTTGGAAAACTATCTCATAAATATTAGGAGTCAGATTTCAAGAGGAAGCGACCAACGTAGAAGTTCCGGAGCTATTTGGTGGCCATTGGAAAGAGAGAAGGGACAGAAGCTTGGAACGGTAACGAGGTTAAGGGAAAGCATTTTGTTCTGTAGGGTAAGGGAAACCTGATAAAATTTGTCACCTGGGAAGAAGGGGCCCATCGGGAAAAGAAGGCAAAATAGCAGGAAAAGGGAGGATAGGATTGAGGGTACTGGCATTAGGTAGAGTAAGACAGGCTCACACGAAAACAACCAGAGAATAAGCCAAACTCTGTAACACATGTTAATTTTCTGAATTAAGAGTTAGGGTTAAGAGTTAGAAGGTGGGGCGCCTGGGTGGCTCAGTTGGTTAAGCAACTGCCTTCGGCTCAGGTCATGATCCTGGAGTCCCGGGATCAAGTCCCTCATCGGGCTCCCTGCTCAGCGAGGAGCTTGCTTCTCTCTCTGACCCTCCCCCCTCTCATGTACTCTCTCTCATTCTCTCTCTCTCAAATAAATAAATAAATCTTAAAAAAAAAAAAAAGAAGGCGGAGAAGGTGGGTGTGGCCGAGAGGAGGTGTCAAACAAGGTGTTAGATTTGACTAGGTTATTCAAGTATGTAAATAACCTGTGTTAACACTTTTAGCACCTACCCAAATATACACGTGACATGGCCTCCAGCCTGTTGGAATGTAGGCGTAATATCCTCAACTTTTTAACGTTATTTCTTGTCACTCGGTGGCCAGTGAATATTTTTCTTTCCCTCGAACACACAGGGCATTTTGTTTTTAAGCATCGCAGAGCAACAATAGAAGCAGTGTGTCTGAATGCAAGAACAGTCTGGGAATTCAGGGGCTGTGAATTTTATGGTGTCTTTGCTATTTCCCGAAAGCGTGATTCTAGACCATTTCATTTCTTTAGGCCAGAGTTTCTTTGTCTGGACGACAGAAATGATGAGAAGGCCAGAATCGAAAGTACTATAACGATCTTAACCCTACCAGTCTGTTAACCATAGCACATAATTCCCCATTCACTCTTCAGCTTCTCAGAATTGCCTTTGGTGGCTGTTCTGCAGATAATATTGTTTGCTCCTTTCTCACTATGAAAACTTTGGGATGTTCACGTGCGAGGCTCAGGAGGCTTCGACATGTCTGTAGCTTCATGTAACTTTCCATGTGCTTTTTCAAGTTCATTTCCCTCAGCCTCGAATGCCTTCCTGCCATGGCTCAGGTTCCCTTGTCCATGGAGCAGGATCGCTAACAAGGCTGAGCTCTCCTCTCCATAGTCTTTGTCAGCTCCCTTCCCCTAGCCATCTCAGACAAAGATCATATAAGAGTCTTCAAGGCAGGCAATTCACATTTTCTCAGTCTTCTGTAAATAGTGAGAATAAAATGCTCTTTAAGAAATATGACTGTCTTCGGAGATCAGTATCCAGCAACTGTGAGGTAAAGCAGAGTCTTGGCCGTGTAAATCAGCTAAAAGGCAAATCCACTCACCCCTTGCTCCCACCCAGCCACTTGGCCCTCCCCCAAGCTCCCCCTATGTAGAAATTCTACAGACACGGTGTTCAATGCAGACAGTGTTTTGTGTTTTTTTAACCCCCTCTTGAATAGGCATTTATTTATTTTTTTAAAAAATATTTTATTTATTTATTTGACAGAGAGAGTGAGAGAGGGAACACAAGCAGGGGGAGTGGGAGAGGGAGAGGGAGAAGCACGCTTCCTGCTGAGCAGGGGAGCGATCCCCGGACCCCAAGATGACCTGAGCCGAAGGCAGACACTTAACAACTGAGCCACCTAGGTGCCCCTTGAATAGGCATTTAATAGGCGAAATGTCTTGGAGGTGATAGGTGGAAATCAAGCAGACAGACCATCAGAAAGAGTTTGCAGGCGGAGCCGGAAAGTTTATGGCTTGTCCATTATTTTGCTGCCATTTCCCTCATTTTCTCTTGACAACTTTGGCCTTCCCTTCCCTTGCCTCAAATCAGGTTCCTTAGCTGGCTTGATAGACATTTCTGCTCATTGGATGACAGACTTAAAAGAAGGCATATGCACGGAGGGATTCTGGTTTAACCATGAGCACTGTTGCTGGAACTCCGACCACGTCACCTTCGAAGACAGAGACAAATGCCCAGAGTGGAACAGCTGGTCCCAGCTTATCATCAGCACCGATGAGGTAAGGCGTTGTGAAGATTTCCAAACCGCCGGCTTGTATTCTTACGTTGACTGAATTTCTTATACTGTACTCATTGGCACTTGTGGAATGCGCCCCTCTTTTCCTCTTCATGGAAAGGGGGACCAGCGCCAGCTGCCTTTCTCTGTGGTGTAAGTGCGACCCTATTTCCCTCGCTTTGATGCTTTACCCAGTGACTTCATGTTTTTGCTCATCGTAAACAGTCGCAGTGTTTCTCCTTAGCTGTTAGTACGGGGTGTGATTGAATCTGTCTTTCTCTAATAATTTCAGTAAAAATGTCAGAGCCAGCCAACAGGGACGCTATAATTCCTAACAAAGACAGAGTGGCTTAAGAATGTGTCTGTTGTATACACTCCAGAAGTAATTTCCCCCTGAGCATTGCATTAGAACATTAAAAAAAATTAGGATACATCATTCCATATGAAAATAACAGAAACGCAGGAATAAAATTGCCAATAGCCTTCTTTGGAGAATAAATCAATATTTTCATTTGTTCTTGTCTCCTAGCAGATATTTTTCTTTCTTTTTTTTTTAAGATTTTATTTATTTATTTGACAGAGAGACACAGTGAGAGAGGGAACACAAGCAGGGGGAGTGGGAGAGGGAGAAGCAGGCTTCCCGCCGAGCAGGGAGCCCGACGTGGGGCTCGATCCCTGGGATCATGACCTGAGCCGAAGGCAGACGCTTAACAACTGAGCCACCCAGGTGCCTCAGCAGATGTTTTTCAATGTAAAAGTAACTTTGTTTTCCAGTTCCTTCCTCTCTATTCCACTTGGGCTGTTTGTTAGATCTCTCCTACTAAAGACAAAAACACACAAGACAGAACAAAACAGCTCTCAATTCCCAGTTCCTTTCTGGCTTCCACCAACCAAAACAGGTACCATCTCAGCTCACTCCTCATTTACTCTGTTGGCAAAGTGACTGAGACAAGGCTAGGATATATATTTATACATTTAAAATGCATTTTTATTCCTACTTTGGTCCACAGACGATTTGGAATGGGAAAAGAAGGATAGGAAAATAAAGTCAGAAATAAGAGTGTTTATGTACATAAATGACTGTACACATTGGCTTGGGGAAAGAGCTCAGTAAAAGGGTTAGATATATACCATATGTGTGAGAGGGTTTAGATCTATTCTTCTCAAACTGGGCTAAAGTTGGCGTGCCAGTGGGTGGGTAAAAACCACAAGATAAATGCTGTGTGCCTTCTCAGAAAATCAGTGGGTTTTTTTTTTTTTAATATTTTTTTCTAAAATTACATTGGATTACAAAGGGGTGCAAGATTTCCATGTTTATTAAGATAAAGCAATCTCTGTTTCAGCTCTGCTCCTGAGTATCCTATCCCCTACCCTCTCTCCTAGATTAGGAGTACTTGGGTAGAAAAGTTTGAGAAGCCCTGGAATTTAGGGTGAGTGTGTGTGTGTGTGTGTGTGTGTGTGTGTGTGTGTGAGAGAGAGAGAGAGAGAGAGAGAGAGAGATTCCCTTGCCTTTTTTTATTCTTTTATTTTTGAAGTAATTATAGATTCACAAGAGGTTGCACAGCAAGGGAGGTCTCCCATACCCTTCACCCAAGCCTCCCCCAGTGGTGACATCTTCTATGACTAGAGGTTAGTAGCAAGACAAGGATATGATCCACAGACTTTATTTCACCCACTTAATGTGCATAGATGTGTGTGTATATGTGTTTGCAGTTCTCTACAGTTTTATCACACGTGTAGATTTATGTAATCACCACCACAATCAGGATCTAGAACTATTGTTCCATCCCCGTAAGGCTCCCCCATGCTACCCCGTCATAGCCATTTATGTGTTTAAGTATTCCAACTGTGGCTTTCAAACTGGAGCTTGAGATTTGCTCAAGTGACACATTTCTCTGGCCGTCTTTTTTTTTTTTTTTTTTTTAATGAATGAAATCCTTGCCTGGAGAGTCTTCTAGATTCTAAGAGTTCTCCTGCCAAGAACTTAGCCTCCAGGTTTCTGCCCCTAGCCATTTTTAGCTCCTTGCCTTTCCACTCCCTCTCCCTCTTTGATTCCTGCTTCTGAAGTCTTCTTCCTCCCTAGCTACATTTGAAAGGCCAAGAGAGAGCAATTACCTATTCCTCTGAGGGACTAAAATAATGGAAAACTTGTGTCAAAGCTATAACTCAGGAGAAAAAAAAAAACCCTGAGCAGTTTGGCTCTGCTTGTTTAGGTCAGTGAATTATTTTAATAATGTTTTACGTTTTAAGAAGCCAGAAGTGCAGTGAGTTGTGTGTTTCATGTAATTCGAGTGAGTTTCAACTTCTATTTTTATCAGTAAGCATCATCTCCTAATGTTCAAGATAGCTTTTTTTTTTTTTTTTTAAGATGTAACTATTTGCCAGCCTTTATGTTGGTGACTCCTTATTAGTGGTCAAAATTATATTTATTTTCTGGCAGACTTCATTATCCTAGGAGGACAGTGTCACAAGTATGTTCTCTCCATTTTAAAAAGAGCTGTTGCTGTTTTATTCTTCGGGTGAGCTGGCATCTCACTGGTTTTGTTCTATGGTCAAAGCCTGAAACTTTCTACTCGCATCTGCTTGTTGCTGAGTCTGTGACAGCAAAATTCAAAGATGTGGTGGCTCCCTATAGAACGGAACTGTGGATTTGAAGAAAAGCGCTCAAGAATTTTCGACACCATAACCCCCCATGAGAATGTGACACCAGGGCAGGTAGAGCTGGTCTTCACTTCAAACACGTAGCCAAGGTTCGGCCGTTCCAGTAAGAGAGCTTTCAAGGCTCTTAATAAAATCGACATAAAATCAGATCTGTTTGACCACAGAACCTGCCCGAGGTCTCGTATTGAACATGAGTTTGCTTCGGGTTTTGTTTGTTCTTCGTTCTTGTCCATCCTTAGCAGCTGGCATCAGTTTTCCTTTGCGTGTAGCAAAGCCTCTCGTTTTCAGTGCCAGGTGGGCTGACAGTGTTTCAGGGGTCGCCTTTGAGCGATGTGATACAGGTTTTTTCCCTTCCCAAGCCCCTCTCCTGAAACCCTATTCCTCCTCAGTGCTGTGTGCCTCATTGAGGCTGCCGGGGCTAAAACAAGCTTCTTTCTTTTTCCCCTGTTCCAGGGAGCCTTTGCCTACATAGTCAATTATTTCATGTACGTCCTCTGGGCTCTCCTATTTGCCTTCCTTGCCGTGTCTCTTGTCAAAGTGTTTGCGCCTTACGCCTGTGGCTCTGGAATTCCTGAGGTGAGTCTCTCAAACCGTTTATAAATGGTTAACAGTAGTGAATCCTTCCTCTGGTTAAAAGCCTTTAATAGGTATTCCAGCCTATCCTGCAATTCGAATATGAAACAGGATCAGACCCGGAGGAAATCTGGGGTCTCTCTAGGTCTTCCCTCAAGTCTCCCAGCCTGGGCCACCTGGACACGAAAGGGGGTGGATTCCTGGGGAATCAGGCCCTTTGAAGGCCATCCCCTGCTCCCTACCCAAGGAGATCAAGGGTAGATCCCAGGTTTCTGGCCGGAAAAAGTAGTGGTATTGTCAACTTTGTTCAAGCAGGAGAAATAAAACTATTTTGCTTCATATCCTACAATATGATTCGGGCTTAGAAGGAGGGTGGCCGAAATCCTGTTTCTAACTACTTTTGGCTTAGATTGCTTGACAGTGACCAAAACCACTGAGATTTGAGGTTACCCAGACGACCTTGCCCCTCTCTGTTTCCTGACCAAGTCATAGTTACAAATTTCTTTGGCAGAGAATCAAGGCTCTACTGGCCTGTAAGGATGTAAGTAAGGAAAACACCCTCCCACTCTGCCTCCCCTTCTCTAATACACACACACTCTCATGCTTGCAATACTCCCTTGCCCAGCTAGCACATGGCCGGGGGTGGGGGTGGGGAAAGGAACTTGAAAGCTTAAAGAACAGTTCTTGCTTTCTTGGGCTCTCAGGATCCCTCCCAAATTGGGGTCACGTAGGTCAAACATTTATATGTCACTTGTTCGAAAGGTGCAGTTTCCATAATGAGGTCCAGATTATTGCTTCCCAGCCTTGTTTACTTGCTTAGTCTATATTCAATCTCTCTGTGTTTGACCTGCAGATAAAAACTATCTTGAGCGGTTTTATTATTAGGGGCTATTTGGGTAAGTGGACCCTGATTATCAAAACCATCACGCTGGTGCTGGCCGTGTCATCTGGCTTGAGCCTGGGCAAAGAGGGCCCCCTGGTGCACGTGGCTTGCTGCTGTGGGAACATCCTGTGCCATTGTTTCAACAAATACAGGAAGAATGAAGCCAAGCGCAGAGAGGTAATGACAGATGGCCCAAATTGTCTCTTTTTTGGTGAGGATAAGTGGTACGATCTTAGGGATGAGGATCTGGGGACTCGACCAATGTCAGTACAAATACCCTTTGACCCAGTGGTTCCACTTCTAGGAATTTATCCTACGGACACCCCAAGTGTGTGTGGGAACCAACGTATATGTGTGGGGCTGGTTGGTGCAGCGTTTGTCAATATCGTGGTAAAACGAAACAATCGCCACATCCATCAACAGGGGACCGATCGAATAAACGAGATTCTGGCTGTACTATAGAATACTAGGCAGCCGTTGGGGCGCCTGGGTGGCTCAGTCGGTTAAGCGACTGCCTTCGGCTCAGGTCATGATCCTGGAGTCCCGGGATCGAGTCCCACATCGGGCTCCCTGCTCGGCAGGGAGCCTGTTTCTCCCTCTGACCCTCCCCCTCTCATGTGCTCTCTGTCTTTCTCATTCTCTCTGTCTCAAATAAATAAATAAAATCTTAAAAAAAAAAAAAAAAAAAAGAATACTAGGCAGCCGTTAAAAAAGGTAGCCTTACGTATATTGACGTGGAATGATGGCTACAAAATAACATTAAGTTTCAAAAGCCAGTTTTGGAATGATGCATGTATAGAATAACTCAGTTAATGTTTTTTTTTTTAAAAAGTATGTATATGTGCACCTAGAAAGAAAATGTCTGGAAAGTGGTTTTACTCCAAACTGTTGAAAATGTCCACCTGTGGTGAGCAGGAAAGTGAGGTGGTAGTGAGGGAGAAGTAAGGACTTTAACTCTAATAACCTTTATTACATATCAATCTATACATGTTGTGCTGTTTTATAACAAAATAAGTTTCAAAAATAAGAGAAGATTTTTAAAAGAAGTCATTTATTCCTGTGAACGAATATAAGCTCCACATGTGTTTCAGATACCAGCTTTTCCATCTTTTATTTCTACCTAGTGCCACACTGAATGAGTTTCTCTGTGTATAGGATTTCTGTCTGCCTTCTGCCTCAACCCCGCTAACTTAGTCCCACCACCGCATCTCTGTAGCTGTTCTCATGTTCATGCAGTTCTTAATGTGTATCATTTTGCGGAGGAAGAACAGTTTTTAGAAATGTCCGAGGTCATTGGTTACTTTTATCCTGCTATAATTAAGGATTTAAGAAAACAATGGTTCTTGCTCTGTTTTCCTTGAATTACACAGAAATCACATATGAAATGGGTCAAGGCCAAGGTCATTTCATTAGAACGGATTTTTCACAAAATTGGAACCCAGTGATTTATTCAGAAAACGAAACAAACCAAACCACAAGGCCCAGAAGGAAACTCAAAAGATGTTGAAATTTCAAATATGGAATCCATTTTGATAGTTCAAGGGGGAAAGTTCCTGGCAGGAGAGGAAGGTTAGCAGGAAAGGGAGAGGGAAGTCAGAGTCGATTGTTTAGCTACCCGTCAAATGGTAGTGGGGCATAAAGGCAGTGTGAAACTGGTGAGGTTTTTAGATGAGAATAAGGTACAACAGAAGCTAAAGAGATGAAAAAACCAGTTTAGCTGGCAAGAGTAGAGTGTTGATTCTTGCTGGTTTTGCATGGGTAGGGGGACTTCGAAACTATAGATTGCCGGTTACTTTCATTCCATAAAATTGGCATTTTTGTTCAGACAGTTCCTTATAAAATGAGAGGGGAGTTGGGGGTATTTCCCTGTTTAGATATCATGTATTTCTCTAACTAGACTTGTGAATATTTGCATCTTGAGTTCACTTCCTATGGTTTATTTAGACTTTCCAGTTATTTTTTCCTGTCCTTCTCACCATCGGCAGCAACCCTTTTGTGTCCCAGGGCCTTGTCAAAGTGGGCAGATGGTTGAGATTACAGATTTGAGAAGGAAGGGCATAGACAGACTCCACTCTGTCAGCAAAAACTTGAAGCAAACCAGCCATCACGATTCTTTCTTTTTCCTCATAATTCAACCGAAAGAGTCACTGAGATCCTCTTGTTTGACTGTCCTTGTTCTTCTCAGATGAAAGCCAGTACATAGGCACGAATTTCGAAGTCCTCCCAGGCTAGCCCCGGAGACCTCACTCCTTCCTCCCCTTCATTTCCCTGGGCCCTCCTGCGCTCCCAGGGAAACCTGCCTATTTATTTTGCCAAGAACCACTTTATTCTTCAGAAGCTCTTCATTTTCATTGAACTTTCTTTTAAAAATTTCCTTACTACCACAAATCACGTATCACTCCACAGCAACCAGAATCCAATGAAAGGACTTTACCCTTCTATTAATTCTAGGGTGTTGGTCATGCATATTCTCCATGCGCATGAGTGTGCCTACATACTGAGGTTGAGCTATGTATCACTTGCTCTCTTTCTCTACCTCCTTGTCCTTTTTTATTTCCCTCTGACAGCTTCTTCCCCTTCCTCTTCCTCTCCCACCTAGCCCTTTTCCTTGCCTCACCGAAACACACTTAGGTCTTCTCTTCCCTTCAGAGTCTGTCCCCTTGCTTCTCGTTGCTTCTAGTTTGCTCCCTATTTCTGTTTCCACCAGTCAGTAGGGACCGAGTGGGGCACAGAGTACAGGAAGCCCCAACCACCTATTGTGTGAATATTTGCAGCTCCTGAGTAGCTGTGAGCCAATTGTTACTTCAGTTTTGTATCATGACAGCCTTCTCTAAAATCTCATTTAAAAAGCATTCCTTAATAAAGAAAGCGCTATGTAAATATATCACTGAAAAGACTTCATTTAGGTGGTTAATAGGTCTACAGACTCAAATTCAGTTAATGAATTGAGAGTACTGGGGATGAAGGGAATGATTCGGAATAAAGTACATGCCCGGATTAATTACACAGGAAAGACCCTCTACCTGTTCCAGCATTTGAACCATGCGTTTGAAATGTAGCCTGCAGCATTTGCTCTCAAAATAAGTAAATATGAATTGAACTTCATTTTTGATTAACCGGATATGGAGCACATATAGTGGGTTTTTTTTTTTTAAATGTTTAGTAAACACTAATACTCCTTTTTTAAAACGTAATTGATGGTAGAAAGGTGTCATTATTCCAACACTAATTTTGAGTTTTGGATTGTAGGTCTTGTCGGCTGCAGCGGCAGCTGGTGTATCTGTAGCCTTTGGGGCACCAATCGGCGGGGTGTTATTCAGCCTAGAAGAGGTAACTACTTTTATCTGTCTCTGGAATATGTGTGTGTTGCTTTCGTGTCAGGAATCCTGGCCGGTGTCTATGGGACATTGCGGACCCGAAGTGCTCCTCCCGACTCAGCAGGTTACCATTTACCGTGTGACCAGCGCTCTCTGGGCAGTTCTTCGGTCGTCAAAGAACTGCAGCAGTGACTCTTCACCTGAAACTGTTTCTGCATCCTGATTTACATTTGCTTTCTCACCTTCTTTCTTCCAGGTCAGCTACTATTTCCCCCTCAAAACGCTGTGGCGCTCATTCTTTGCTGCCTTGGTGGCAGCTTTTACTCTACGTTCCATCAATCCCTTTGGCAACAGCCGCCTGGTTCTATTTTATGTGGAGTTTCACACCCCCTGGCATCTCTTTGAGCTCGTGCCCTTCATTGTGCTGGGCATATTTGGTGGTCTGTGGGGAGCTTTGTTTATCCGCACCAACATTGCCTGGTGTCGGAAGCGTAAGACCACTCAGCTGGGCAGGTACCCTGTCGTGGAGGTACTCGTTGTGACAGCCATCACCGCCATCCTGGCTTTCCCCAATGAGTACACCCGCATGAGCACAAGTGAGCTTATTTCTGAGCTGTTCAATGACTGTGGCCTGCTGGACTCCTCCAAGCTCTGTGATTATGAGAACCGCTTCAACACAAGCAAGGGGGGAGAGCTGCCCGACAGACCGGCTGGAGTGGGAGTCTACAGTGCCATGTGGCAGCTGGCCTTGACACTCATACTGAAAATTGTCATCACCATATTCACCTTTGGCATGAAGGTGAGCACACCTTGGTGGGTAGATGTGTGGCTGTGGGTTTGGGGGGCAAAGCCAAGACACCATACAATCTTCAAAGCTCATGTGGCATTTCCGGCTTCATGTAGCATTATCCCCCACCCTCAGAAGCCCTCACCCCCCCGCTCCCACGTGTCCTCATAACTTCCTAGACAGCGGTACCTCCACCAAACATCGTCCAAGCCTAGTTTTAGGCCACATGCAAACCTCAGTGATGAGATTTAAGGAGAAATGTGTTATCCTTTCCAGAGGAAAACAGATTTTGCCCCTCAAAAGGGATGGTAAGGTATTTATTCATGTGCATTTTATGTTAAAACAATATCTGACCACCACATTTTTGGTCCTTAGAGGGTGGCTTTAGAGTTTGCCAATAGAGCAAAATATCAAGTTGAACCAAATGAAGTAGCCATTATTCAACCATTTTGACCCTAAGATGGCAATGTCCTACGGTTTGGCCCAGTGTGGCGCTAAATGTATTCTATACCATTGTCATCAATGCCCAAGTAGCAGGAACTTCACAGGTGATCCCAAGTTAATAGTGCAACTGTCAGAAGCAGACGTCAGGCCAGCATCTTTTATTTTCGGTACTTGTTATCAGTTCCATGTTTCGGAAGAAATCAGAAAGGAACATTCATTGAGGTATTTTCTTCCTCCGCCCTAGGTTGTTAGTCTTTTCTTTAGCACCCAACTACCAAGTTAGTTCCCTCTGTTCTCTAGGGAAATGGAGATTCGAACCAGAGAAGAAGACTCCACAGCTCAGTTTAGCCAGTACTATAGTCTCTGAATTGATACGCATCCTCCTCGACACCCGGGAAGGTTTTACAGTGCTTCTTGAGTGATTTTTTTTTTTTTTTTCCCATCATGGCTTCATTCTTTCATTTAAAGTGAATGTTCAGACCATCAGACCCACCCTGATTCATATGTATTCCACAATCAAACACAGGCTATTTAAAAATAATCTGCTGTTTTATTTTGTCCTTGTCGTCATTTCCCTCCCTTCACACAGAACATTGAGAATTCACCGTATATATCCTAGGAGTCAGGAAATAGAGCGGGAGACCGACGAGAGGGTCTTTTGGTGGTGGTGGCGGTGGGTTTTTTTGTTTTGTTTTGGATAGTCACGCAACCATAGTTACTACCTCATTTAAAAAATGTCATCATTTCGTCTTTCTTTATACTGTTACAAAATAAAATGTAACCTCATGTACAATCCTTTTAATGCGAGCAGTAGGTTAAGATTCAGTACATGGGAGTGGTTAGGAGCATTGCGTTTCATCCCCAGCACCGGTATTTACTGTATCTTGACCTTGGGTGAGTTACTTCACCTCCCTGAACCTTGAGTTCTTTGTGATTGGGTAATCCTAACGCCTGTCCCCCCAGGGGTGGTTGTCAAGAACTCGGGGAATCCTGTCAGTTGAGTATCCAGCATAAAACGTGGTAGGTAGTCAATAGAGGGGAATCGTTGCTAAGAATTCAGAATTGGGGAACATGTCTGCATATGTGAGAAACTCCATCTATTTTCCTTTTTCTTTGGGAAAGGCTTAATTTCTGCCTCCAGTTCTGTGTTGGTCTGGAGAGTTCAGGCTCTTGCCTGATGGACCCCGGATCAGGGTAAGCTTCTCTGCAGTCGTCCTTGCCTGCACGTGCCAGAGAACCTCTAGCCCCTGTAGCATTACACAAGTCTTTACGGCCACTTGCTAGCATAGTGCATAGTTAAATTGTCATTTGGCCTGTTCGCTTCGCAGAGGGTCAGTCCTCTAGCCCTTACCACGTGCCAGGCGGACGCATCATGCCTCCCTAAGCACCCGTTGCTTTCTCTTTGCAGATCCCTTCTGGCCTGTTTATCCCCAGCATGGCTGTTGGTGCTATAGCAGGTCGACTTTTGGGAGTGGGGATGGAACAGCTGGCTTATTACCACCATGACTGGGCCATCTTCAACAGCTGGTGTAGCCAGGGAGCGGATTGCATCACCCCTGGCCTGTATGCGATGGTTGGGGCTGCAGCCTGCTTGGGTGAGTGGTGTCTGCATTGGGTTTGAAGAAGTTGCCACCCAGGTGACATCATGAAGAAGCGTGATATGAAACACAGTTGACTGCAGATTGATTTATTTTTTTTTAAATGACCATCCGTTTCCTTTTGGGTTTGCCATTTTTCAAGTGCTTTGGAAGCATTCTTTATCATATAGCTACATTCCTCCCTTTGGGGAGCAATTTTACTCTCAAATTTCATCATACTAAGGAAATGATCAGAAACGTGGAGAAGGATATCTGCCCAAGAGTGTTCATCACAGGATTATTTATGATAGCAAGAAATTGGAATCAACTTAAATATGCACAGGAAGGGACTGGTTCAGTGGATTATGGTCCGTATAACCTTGTAATGTTATTCTATGTAGCTATTAAATGTGATGCTGATATTTAACATCTTTAAATATGATGTTAAATAAATTTGTGATAATATCCAAGATGTTCCTGACATAAAGTGGGGGGAGGGGAGCACGGTGGGGAATTAAATGTGTAGTATGAGCTCACCTACGTAAAAACATACATTTTTACATAGTGAAAAACTTGAAAAAGTCATTCAAAATTTTTACTCTACTTATTTCTAGGCAGTGAGCTTATGGGTAATGACTTTCTTTTATAGACTTTATTTTTTTTTAAAAGATTTTATTTATTTATTTGAGAGAGAGTGAGAGAGCAGAGCACAAGCCAGGGGGAAAGGCAGAGGGAGAAGCAGGCTCCCTGCTGAGCAGGGAGCCCGATGCGGGGCTCGATGCCAGGACCCTGGGTTCATGACCTGAGCCCAAGGCAGATGCTTAACCGACTGAGCCACCCAGGTGCCTGCCCCGTCTTTTATAGACTTTAAAGAAATGTGTTCTGACTTTTCCACAATGGCCTGTACGTTCCAGAGAACCTCTCGTCTCAGTAGTGTTACACAAGTTGTGGGTATCTTCTGCAATGACCTTTATAATTAAGGGGGAGAAAGCAATGCATGAATAAGAAACAAAAGGAGAAAAATGCAGAAGGCCTGTTGCGCTTCTGTAGATGTTATTTTGAGAAATGTGACTCAGGTCCATTATAAACTGGCTGTAATGCAGTTGCAGTTATGGGGGAGCCCCCCTCTTAGCAGTGTTTCTGGTAAGTAGGCTTTCCCTGGATGGGGGTCTGTCGCAGGCCCTTATCTGGCATGAATCTGAACTTTTCCTGTTTTCAGTGGCCTGTATCTGTTTCGTTGCAGGTGGGGTGACCCGGATGACTGTTTCCCTTGTTGTCATAATGTTTGAACTAACTGGGGGCTTGGAGTACATTGTGCCTCTGATGGCTGCAGCCATGACAAGCAAGTGGGTGGCAGACGCTCTTGGGCGAGAGGGCATCTATGATGCCCACATTCGTCTCAATGGTTACCCCTTTCTTGAAGCCAAAGAAGAGTTTGCCCATAAGACCCTGGCAATGGATGTGATGAAACCCCGGAGAAATGATCCTTTATTGACTGTCCTTACTCAGGACAGTATGACCGTGGAAGATGTAGAGACTATCATCAGCGAAACCACTTACAGTGGCTTCCCAGTGGTGGTGTCCCGGGAGTCCCAAAGACTTGTGGGTTTTGTTCTCCGGAGAGATCTCATTATTTCCATTGGTAAGGATTTCAGAAAGAGGATCACAGGATCCACTGTGGAAATAAATCAATACGTGTCAAAGGGGTGAAGACAGAGGGAGGACGGGACGAATTAGGGGCCATCAAGATAGAATGTTCAACTTTTTTTTTTTTTTTCTACTTCTCAAATAGAAAATGCTCGAAAAAAACAGGATGGGGTTGTGAGCACGTCCATCATTTATTTCACCGAACATTCTCCTCCCATGCCGCCCTACACCCCGCCCACCCTAAAGCTCCGGAACATCCTGGATCTGAGCCCCTTCACTGTGACTGACCTCACACCCATGGAGATTGTCGTGGACATCTTCCGCAAGCTGGGACTGCGGCAGTGCCTGGTTACGCACAACGGGTGAGGGCTCCTTGGGGGAGGCACGTTGGGTTGTGGGAGGAAGGAGACTGTAGAGAGATAAAGAGAGAAGAACCCAATTCATTTGAACGTTAGTAGCACTTGCCCTTCTGAAGCTCCGTGATGAAGATGGATGTGTTTCTTTTATCGTCATAATTAACGGAAAAGGGGTTTGGGGGCAAAAGTGTGTTTGAGAGATGGGACTGCTTGCTGCACGTTGTAAATAATGCAGTTCCTCCCCCGCAAAGGAAATGGCTGTGTCCTCTTGAACAGACAGCACTGAAGTTATGATGGTATTACATACTATATGTGTATATAGTATTTGGTCCTTACAGTACCTTTGTTATTATTATTTGAGGATGAGAAAAGCAAGTTTTGGTGAGGTTTGAAGATCTGCACAAGGGCCCCGCATTAATATATAGTAGAGGTAGGCTTTAAACACAAGTCTTCTGATTCTCAAGGCCAAGGCTCTTTCTTTCTGGGACATTTCTTTATTTTATTATTTTTTAAATTTTTAAAAAATTTCTTTTCTGTCCCCCCCCCCCCCCAGGACATTTCTTATGCAGTAAAGGAAGCCCTGCTATTTTTATTGGAAAAGAAGGAAGGTGGAGGAGGAGGGTAGATTTTTTTTTTCTAAGCATGCTATGTTAATCCAGCAATTATGTAAGAATTTCACTCTCTACAATTTCTAAATGTTGTAACAGATGTCTTGCAGGATTTGAATCAGCAAGGGGACTTCCCCTAACTGATTCATTCAACATTTACCGAATCCCCTATTTCGTGCAAGACGGTATTCCACTAGACGCCAAGGAGACACAAAAAAAGGAATAAGGCCCTTCTCCCTGCTCAAGGAGTGCGCAGCGTTGTAGGGAATTTGAGATCACATGAGCCCAGGTCACACGACAGCAGACGGGACAAGGGCATAGGTCAGGCCATTGCTGCCAGGAGGACGCAGTCATTGCTGGCCCGCAGGATCAGGGGAGGCGTTCTGGAGGAGGAGCACTTGAACTGGGTGGCAAACGAGAAGATTCAGACATACAGGGAATACTTAAGCCCCAAGAAGTAGCAGGATGCGAGACCCAAGGTAGAAATGCTGGCCGCCTGTCTAGGGACCCACGCCCAGTCCCGTTTGCCTGGTGCACGTCACCTAGTCCCACCAGCGCCTCATGCTGTAAGTGCAGACAGTGTTGAAGACAGAGTTGCGAAGGACTGGGGCGGAAAAGCGTCACCTCGCAGGATGTTAACCACAGGCTTATTTTTGTTTTGTTGTCTCGTTTTGTCTTCCAGGCGGTTGCTTGGAATCATTACCAAAAAGGACGTGTTAAAGCACATAGCACAGATGGCAAACCAAGATCCCGACTCCATTCTCTTCAACTAGAATCACAGGGCTGTGCTGGATGTAAAACAGGAAGGACATTGCAGACCACGGATGTGTTTTGTTAACTGGGTACCCAAAACACATTTCCCATATTTGGAGGGTGAAGTTATATTAGTGTGTTGTCTCTTTCCTATAAGTTAACCAGTTGCACTACATAATCTCTGGAATTTAATCTTCTCTTTAGGAGAAAATACAGTTAGGCTTCTGTGACACTGCATTAGGAAGATTTCGTGAAAGAGTCAATGAGATTGCTCTGGTTTGATTCTTCTTAAATTTTTTTTTTAATTTAAAACATAATTGTTAGCCAATATGCAATCACTGAAAACTATGCAAGAAAAATTCCAACCGTCCTGACCTATAGCCTACAGGAAACTCATGAAAAAGTCACTTTTTTGGACTCTAACTGTCATTGGTGGAAGATGAAGTGTAAACTAAGGGGCTTTGCTTTTCCAACCACAGAAAGGAAAGCCAGAAGGAAAATAGTAATGGTGTTTTCCAGACTGTGAAAATTCAGTTCAAATGTTATCTTGTTCCTGTTACAATATTTAGCATTATTAGTTTGTGTGTGTGTACGTGTATGTTAATTTTAATATCTGATTATAAGACAATGCTGCTTTGGTTAACCTTCTCTAAACGAATTTAGAGAGGTTGACTTTTATAGCTTGCTTGTTCCTGGTACTCTTTTGAAGTGCACAAAGATAAGTTATGGAACTTTTTCCTTGTCTGCAAAAAGGGTAATTTTCCAGATGGTATTTGTTAGCTGGTAGACAAGGACTTCGCCATGAATTTGTTAGTAGCAAGGAATGATTTCTCCAGCTTCCTTGGAATGAATGATTAGTAAAGTTCTAAGCAAAGTCAATGACAAGGAATTTCACATTTTTTGGTGAGGTCCCGACTGATTCTCTTGCCCAGATGCCACCTCCATGAGTGATGGTGCTTTAGGCTTCTGGAATATGTAAGAATAGTAAAGGGAACCAAGTCTAGACTGTGTACTGATAAACCAGGGAAGATCCCGAGCTGAATCTGCATTCTCATGCATTCCTTCGTAAAGACCACCAGTACTCAAATAACTGGGCACTCATGCCTCCTCCCAGTGTTAAGGACATGTAACAGGCCAGTGTTGTCCCTGTGAACATGAATTTAGGCTTGGGGTACTTTCAAATCTATTTGAGGCATTGGAATTAGGATAGGCAGCTGCCACTCCCTTGAGGCTCGTTAGAATTCTGAATAAAATGCAGAACCATCCTAAGACCCAGGGGTGTGGACAAGGCCTGGTGACACCAAAGGTGCTTGTTTATCCAATTGCAAAGGTGCCTGTCTCAATTTTCTACCACCTTTCCTGCAGTAGAAAACATCACCCCATAGGGACGCCTGGGGGAATCACAGCGCCACCACTGTCATCCCGACCGACGCCTGGTTTCATTTTCTGTTGTTTTCCCCATGTGTGGCTGCCCCCACCCCCGTGTTCCCCTCCATTCTTTTCCCCTCCCACTCCTCAGTCCCGACTCCTCTTTGGGATTGAGCGCCATGCCTGGTTAATCATTCCTCTCTCAAGAAATAACTCCCGGGGCTAGTTAAATTGTAAACCGGGGCTCAGCAACCTCTGGCACATGGACCCCCGAGGTAACGCCCAGCCATTTGCTTTGCTCTCTTGCCCAGTTGCTGCTGCCGGGCCTCCCTCCCTTTCTGTGCTGATGCCCAGTGCCCGTAGCAGCAAGACTCAACTGCAGGGCTGTGCGTTCAGCCTTTCCTGTTCTACAGGTCTGTCCCCCCGCACTTGGCGCCATCCTTCCAGCCTGGAACCAGCAGTCGCTCGGCGTATCCTTCCCCGCCCCCGCCTCCCCTCCCCGCACACCTCAGGGTGCCTCATCTTACAAGTTGCTGAGCCCTGAATCTAGGATTTTTTTTTTTTTTTTTTTTTTTTTACCCCTAGTTCTTATCTTTCCAAAATCTGAAGATCTTTCATTGCCCAGACCTGGGTAGCCAAGGCTTGTATTGATTTTTATCTTTCAAATATCAAGGCACTCACCAGAGTTTCATTTCGTTTCTTTTCTTTTTTTTTTTTAAGTTTATCACGCTAACATTTTAGTGAAAGAGAAAAAAGCTCTCTAGGTTGTCTTCTCTTAGAGTCATGACTCAGTCACTCTATGTCTTTTGTCCCTTCCATGCCACTGATTTCCTCATATGGGATGAGGCCGTGGGCCGGACCGCCCCTGTGTATTGTGCAGGAGCCATTCTTATCTGTGTATTTCTGGTTCACTACCTATCTTTTCTTATTAGCCGTCCAGCTAAAGTTTGCAAAACAGGAAGCGTTAGTATTTCTGGTATTTGATGACAAAGGTTTGGTCGCATTTCATAGTGCAGCGGCGATATGGAGGGCGTCTAAGTTTGCCTTTGTGTTTCTTCTAGGCTGTGTTTTTGATTTCAGACAGATGAGCCAGTGTTAAGGTGCTACTTCAGAGAATTAATTTGAGAAATCAGATAACACTGTGCCAAGGTATACTTTCTAGATACTAAGCACCGATTGGCCCTCCAGAGAATAATATCCTTTTGATACCTCACTCCTGATAAATCTCATTCATTAACCTCAGCTTCTCAGGAATCCTTGTAACACATAGGCTAGAAGTAGCTATAGTGTATGGTATTCATTGTATGTCCAATCCTATGGTTTGGCCCAAAGGTTGGCTAATTGTGGCTAAAGCTCTCTGCTACCTGCTAGCTCAGCACCTAACACTCAAGGGTTTCCTGTCTTCAGGCAAAGGAAAATGTTCTTTCTGCCATTGCAGATTCAGCAGTTGGACAGACTTACCCAACAAACAAAGCCATTACAGGGAGGCGCGTCGGTAGCCTCAAGTGGCCACATACCTCAATGGCAAAAGACTAGATGATCTGCCACTTAAAAATTCATTTGAGTTGAGACCAGTGTGTTTGGGTGTTAAGAAAAGAAAATTGCTCGACGCAAGGGAAGGATTTACAAAAGAATGCCGGTGCATGCTTCAAGAGACTTAGGATTTGCGGAGGAGAAAGATCTGGGACACAGCCAGTCGTGAGAAGAGTGGGAGTCGGTAGGTTTGTAGAAGTCTAGCTGCTAGACTTTGTAGAGTCAGATGTTCAATGTAAAGAATTAAAAGAGGCCGAAACAGTTAATGCACCGTTAGACCACAGGAGGGAGGACGCAAGGGACCGAGAATGCAAACTAACGGCCGCCGTCAAGGTCATTTCTTTTCGGATGTTTGTTCCGACGCTCTCCTCTTCTCTGGCCGCAGCTTCCTTCTGGCCCAGACCAGCTGTGCAGTAGGGGTGGCGTAACCCACAGAACTGATACCCTCTGGTGGGTAATCTGACATTGATGACACTTTGGATTTGCCAGCTGGCAGAGCAAACGATTAATTTGCTGATTGAACAGCAAAGTGGCTCAGTTGTTTTGACAGCAGAGGCGGAATCTGAACCCCTTACGGGAAGAGCAGAGCACAGCATAAATTTCTCTAGCAAGTCTCCATTTCCGTGAGACATGAGAAAGATAAAGTAATGGGGATTTAGTGTGGTCTAAGGCTGTGAAGTAATTCTTAGCCATGATCTTTTTTTTAAAGGAGGGGAGGGGCAGAGGGAGAGAGAGAGAGGGAGAATATTAAGCAGGCTCCACGCCCAGCCTGGAGCCCGATGCGGGGCTCCATCGCACGACCCCTCACATCCCCGAGATCGTGACCTGAGCCGAATTCAAGAGTCGGACGCTTAACCGACTGAGCCACCCAGGCGCCCCTAAACCACGATGTTATGAACTCGTTCAGGTGTGGGGGGAGCAAATATGTTTTTAAAAACTTGTCACGCATTAGAGTCCATCATGCAAAGTAATCGAGCATGGTACACGTTTTACGTATTTGAGTTGCCTGTCCCAGTTGGGTTCTCAATCTTGGTTTGTTTTGTGAGGTGATGAATAGGAAGGTGAACTTGTTACCCCACAGTATCTTTTTTTTTTTTTTTTAATAAATCACGAGGAGTGCAATTTTTGAAGTTGGGTTTTCAATGATGATAGTGAAGGTGATATTGAGAATCTGAAACGGCCGAAGTGCTTACTGAGGACAGGCCACATTGCCACCGATCAGTTCAGAGAAAGCAGGAGAACATTTTTTCAGGGTGGTACACAGAGTATTGAGCTCTTGAAAACCCCGAGAAAAACTAGAGATTTAGAAAAAATGGGAAGTAGGATATTCAGTTCTTAAAAAAAAAAAAAAATAGATGTCTAAATATGTGGTCTGAACTTAGTGTCCTAAAACCTTGATTTTTGTTTGTTTGTTTGTTTGTTTGTTTAATCACCTCTGGGTTTGCCTGGACTCCCTCTGGAGAGAGAATTGGAAGATGTGGCAGTGGAGAAGCCCTAGTAAGAAAGTGTCTGAGTTCTTGCAAGATGGCAGGAGGAAGGCCATCCTGCGCCCCACGCCATACAACCTGGCATTTATAAACTGTCTGATCATGTGCCTCAGGTAGAGAGCAAGTCAAGTAGTCTTTCAGAGACCAGGGTTTGCGAGCAGAAGAGAGGCTCAAAGCCACATTCGGCTGGAGGCAGTCCACTTGTACGGAGAGGGCTGACCCGCGACCAGACATCTGCTCAGGAAGGAGGCCGGCTACTACGTACCATTGCCTAAGTGATGAGCTTTAGGTAGATTGTCTTGAATTTTTTTTTAATCTATATTTTAGCCTCCCTAGAATATACTTATTGTGTATTAGAAAGAAAAAAAAGGTGAGGGCTTCTCAGATCAGAGTTCAGGGAGCTGTGTAAACTTACAGGGAAATTTAATGCAGTGGTCCTGTGGCGACCACTCCGGCTTTGCTCTGCCTCAGTTTCGGTTGTTCGCTCCAAGGAGGGAAGCTCTTGGAATAGTAGGCGTTAGCAACTTCACGTTACTCCACAAATGTTTGCTGGCCGCGGTCTCACTTCTGAACATCTGGATCTGGGCAAAGTTTTGAAGCAATGTAGGGAACGGAATTGCTTTTTCCACTGTGTAGTCCGATTTTGCCAACTCACCCAAGAAAGAAAGTCTGTGATGTGCAGAGTTTGCGTTTCTTGGATGGGACCTATCAGGTCCCCCTGCCGAGTCCCACAGTCATAAATTCCTACCTCTCAGTTCCTGCCAAAGGGTCTTCAGCCTCTGTGTGCACTCACTGAATCAATGCCTTGCCTAAAGTTTGGCCTTTTATAAAGGGAGAAACGGCATATGATGGTATAAAAATATGAGGGTTTAAAAAAAGTGATCTCTGCCTCTCCTTCTCTCTCCTCCTCCTCCCCCCATCCCCCAATTCCAATTTTTTCTCAGTTGTTAACAGGTGTGTTGTCTTGAATGTGGACCTTGGGGGAGGGACAACATCATTCTGAGAGAATGGAAGATACTTCTGAGCCGATGGGCCAGTCGGGGCTTTGCTCTGCTGGCGGGGCCAAAGCCGGGGCGGGGGGTTGTTGAGAGCATTGAGGGCTTGAGCATCTCAAGGCAGACATATGAAGTGCTCGTTGCTAAACCTGATTACTAGTCCAAATCTGTTGAAAGTCAAAGGCAGCCTAGAATTTGGTGAGTGAAATGCCATCTGGCCACATGGGGACAAGGGAGTGGCCTGAGATGGTTTTACCAGGGTGGGAATGTTCAGTCTGGTCATACTGAGTGTACCTCAGAATACACGGTCCTTCAAGAGCGCTCATTTTCCCTTCTCCATTGCACTTCAGCCCCTTTCTCCCTCCTTTCTCCCCCTTTGCCCTGCCTTTTCAGTACTCAGCTTTTTAATAAGTATTTACATTTTTATTATATATTTGGTCCTTTAGGACTATGTAATGATTAAGAATTCATTTCATTCTAGATTAAAAAAAATGATGTGTTTAATATTTTGTTCTTTTAAACTGTCTTTTGAAGCTATGCTGCTAACCAGGTACAGGCCAGAAAGGAGTCGGGCCTGCCAGACAGCACCCTGGTCATGTCACCTAAGGATGACATTGATGTCACGACGGTGACTCTTCTCTGTTTGACCAAGGCCAGCCTCCTGCTCTTACCTCTGTCCAATTCACTTCTGGCTCGGGGAGAACGACCACCCACTGGGTGAGCCAGTGAGGCCAGGAGGGTCAGAAAAGCCGGGTCCCAGCCCATGGGCCACTATATGAGTTCTCCGTAATACGCTCCCTTGTAGGGCCGGCTCCTGGCCACAGTAGCCAAAGAAAACCTGTCTGACTCGACATTTTCGTTCCGAAGCGTTGGTAAAAGTTCAGCCGAAGCTAATGTATAGAGAGCAGCAGTGGCCGAGCACGTACAGAAACTAGCATCAACCAAAGCTAATACAGCCTGTTTCCATGGGCAGCTTGGTGCTGAGCTGTTCAGAGCAATTATTTATTCGAGTGCTGCCAACCCTGAAGTCCCGCTTTCTTAGCTTTGCTCGAGCTTGGAGAGGTGTTGGTCCCCGTCCACAGGCACGGCCTGTGCCCAAGCTCTGGCTTACTGCTCACTTCATTTTGCTCCCTGGTCGTGCATAGCAACATAGTCTAAAAAGGAAGACATGGGCTGGGGAGTTAGGAGACCTGGTTTCTGTTCCCTATGCTTCTACTAACTAGCCTCGAGATCTTAACCGCTCTGTGCCTCAAGTGTTCCCATCTGCAAAATGGGGATAGCGTTAATTGCCGTACCTACCTCACAGGGTTGTTGTGAGGATAAACGGAGACAATGAATGGAAAGTACTTTGACAAGTAAGTGCTATGCAGATTTTAAGAAGTGGAAACAATCATGTGAAAGGCAATGGAACGGACATTGGCAGAAGGGTTAACGGGATCGTCCAGCCCTTTCTCTCTGTGGCATAAACCCGGGTCGCCATTGCTTTATACATTTTCACCTAGCACAGATTTGTAATTATGCATGTAATAAAGCACAGCCTTATCCAACCTGGTGTCTGGTGTCTTTCTGAAGCCCCCAAGTTGTGTAGCTATTGAGTTCTGATCGTAGAAGCGGGGTGGGGGGGGTAGGGCGGGGGGGATTGAGAGGGAGGCTGGTATAAAAGGTACCTGCAAACTCCTACTAGCGGGCTCACTTCTTAAAATGATTTATTAGATGCTTAATTATTTTTACAAGTACAGATTCAGTAATACCTTTTTACCGTAAGGAGACAAATGAGGGGTAGCTTGCGTCTTGAGAGATTCCAGATACCTCATTCATTCTGGCTCCTTAAAGAAATGGAAACAATCCATCTATCTCATTGCCGTCTCATAGGTTGGTGATACTTTCCTGATGACATGAGGATTAACTGGGAGCTGGATTTGTTCCTCTCTTTTTGAGCTTTTAATGATGTCAGATGATGGGCTTCGACAGGCCTCTTGCCTACAGTTGCTCCTTCAGAGGAGGAGGGTGGGTGATTGAAAGGTGCCTCCAGTGGAAAGGAAGGTTAGGAGTACCCTCTTTGTGGTGTCTTGGGATTAAAATGTCTTCTGTGAGAAACCCTCTGAGGTGGCCACGGAGGGGGGCTCTTTGGGGAGGTGGTTGAATATGCAAACATTTCCCTTTCACACTTTTGCGGAACGGGGGGGGGGGGGCGGGGGGGACAAGGGAAAGCCAGACTTTGAAGTCTGGTTTTCCGACTTTCTCTATTTTCCTCCATCAGACGCCTCCCTCCCCTTTCTGTTAGCCAGATCCCCGAAGAAGGCCGTTTACCACATGTCCAACTTCTTGCTTCAGAATTTCTCCAGTGGGGGCCCCATCACATCGGCCGTGGTGTTGACTTGTTGCTACCAGGAACTTGAAGGCTTTTGGCCTACTTGGTATCATTTTAGGAAGGACACCTCTGTATCAAGATACCTCCCTCATAAGCCTGAAATTCCGCGACGAAATTTGAGCTTCTGATGTTATTTATCATTTTACCGGACCCGTTCCACACTACCACCATCCCTGCCTCTAATCTAAATACCTCTTGAGGAAAACACACACACACACACACACACACAAACAATACATCTAGGTGTTACGGGCTATCAACAGCTTACAAGAATTAGAGTGACATGTCTGGTCGTTGCAGGGCTCAGATAAAAGTGGCTTTGATGGAGTATGAGGTACAGATCGATCCATCACCTAGTACAGGAGGCCCAGAGAAACACCTGGAAATGACCACCAGATGTCAGTGCAATCATTAAAATACTGACGTGGCTTAGGGTTCGGTTAAAAGAGAACCGAGTCTGAGGGCAGGTGAGGCAAGAAGCATGGATTCATAGGACAGCTAGACGGTGGAAGTACAAAATTCAGTCACAAGGTATTTAGCAGACATTCCCTTTTTAACGTATCTAATAAACTTTATGCTTTTCTTCTTATTAAATTAATCACATGGCAGTCCCTACCTTTAAGGAGCTCGTCATCCTGGTGTCCAAAAGTTGTAGCTTTTTCAAGGCAGTGTCCTAGGTAAAAAGGGAAGAAGGACTCCAGTTCCTCCCTCGCTGGGATGACCAGATACTGGATGATTAGGACAGTGCTGACAATGGGATGGTGGTGTTAATAATTATCCAGGGACAACAGGTGTAGACTGGACTTACTTCACATGTCTTAGTTTGGGCTGCGCTATAACAAATTATCGTAGACCAGGTGGCCTAGAAACAACAGAAATTTATTTCCCACAGTTCTGGAGGCTGGAAGTCTGAGCCAGCATGGTTGGTCCTGCTGAGAGCCCTCTCCCAGGTCACAGACTAGCAACTTCTCATTGTATCCTCCCATGGCGGAAAGAGAGCTAGAGAGTTCCCTGGGGTCCCTTTTATAAGGGCACTCATCCCACCCATGAGGGCTCCACCTTCCTGACCTAATCACCTCCGAAAGGCCCCACCCCCAAATACCATCACAGTGGGAATTAGGATTTCAGCAGATGAATTGGGGAGGCACGCAAACATTCAGTTCCCAACACCAGGCAAAGCAAGAAGTGTAGTTACTCTCTTCCTCAGGGATCTCCAGCTTTTGGCCTTTGGACTCCATCTAGCTCCAGGTCTCCGAGGCTCCTTCCCTGGGAGCTCAGACTCTGCCCTTCCCTTGAGCTCCCAAGGCCCCTCTTCTGGCCTCTCTTCCCTCCTTCATAATAAGCAATCTCATCTTAACTGCTACGGGATGTGAGGGAAGAGAGGTGTTTGAACAACCGCAGGTAAAAAAGTCTTGTTCTCAAAAATAATAGTAGGACTCTGGGCAGAGAGCAACATTCAGGGTAGGAAAAAGACATTTTTTGGCCTTTGGCTCTCCTTAGGCCTCCTTAAGCTGTGGAGTTGAAGACTTCCCTGTCTATGCATTACCCACTGCTAGTGTCTCTCAGTAGACATTTTAGGATCTTGATTCAGGAGGCTGCAGATAAACTAAAAGACAGAAGGGAAAAAGCATAGGGTTTGGAGCCAGAGCACCCAGACTCGAGGCTTTACTGCAAGGGAACTGCTGCCTTCCTCCGTCAAACAAAACTCAGGATCTCCAAGATTGGCCCTGAAGGAAGCGTCTCCTCTTGAAGAGGGGCTTCTGGATCTCACAGCATGGCTTCGAGTTCCATACGATTCTCCTTACCAGTGAGGCCCTTTTTCTGGTTATCTCACTGGCCTAGGGGGGTTGTGGGAGATCACTACTCCTTAAAGATTCTGGCCTGAGTCTGCCTCCGTAGCACAGCTGAGTGGAGGTAGAATTTTTCATCTAAAAGCTCGGGGAAAATGGAGTCAATGTGACGTGCAACAAGCTCATTCGGCTTATCCGGACTGCACAACAGAATCATCTGAAATAGGTCTTAAAATATAGATTCCTGGACGTTTGGTGCTAAATCTTGGACGGGTATTTGGAAAACCATACAGGAATATTACAGGCTTCACCCCCGCCCGCACACCCTGAAGCCTTATCAGCCTCCTGCCTGGTGGGCACCATCTTAGCACCGCCTGGGAGAACTCATGGTCCCACTTGTTCACTCCTGTGTCCCAAGTACCAGATACGGGGCCCGGCACAGCGCGGGCCCGCCAACAATACAGTACTGGCGGGGTGGCTGTTTGTGTAAAGCTTGCCTTTTTTAGTTCCCGTTTCCTGCTTGGAGATGTGTCTCTTCCCTACACATACACCACCTTCCAGGGACAACGCACTTACCCACCCACAAGCAGTTCTTCTATCTGAGTTTATAAGTCACCACCCAGTAATCACCATCTCATGCCACCCTTGGGAAGTGATGGAGGGCATGTTTATTTCAGGCTCTCCTATCCATTTGGTTCCTGATTTGACTTCTCTTAACCTCAGGAACCTCAACTGTAAAGTAGGAATGATGATGAAAACTGCCTCATAGGATCGTTGAGATGAATTGAAACTGGGTATAAAAACTGGGCTTTACAAGTTGGCTATACAAACATTGTTGCTATTCAATTGTCATGAGGGCTAAAAGATAACGGATGAGAACAGTCAATTCATGACCAGTGTTTATTGGGCACCACTAGGCACTAGGGATTCAATGGAAGGAAAAAACAGGCCCGTTCCCTAGATGGCAATCCAAATCACAGTCCATTTAGAATGCCATAAACCAGTAGTCTGTTCTAGTGACGGAATATTCTTTTTCCAAGTCCAGCATCTATGGGATTGGCAACCTCTCCTGAACAATTAGCAGAATCTTGGCACCTCCTTGCCCACCAAAATATTTCTTGATTATTTCTGCCTCTGAGACTCTAGAATATAGCACTAAATCAGGACATCCCAGGTGTGCATGCAAACCAATCTGTCAGCTCTGGTTCTCAAGGATGCACCCACTTCATTCCCTCTGGCTCCAACTCCCACTTGGCCACATCTGAAGCTGGCAAAACCACCTGGGAGCACTATTCCTCACCCCAGATACCACCCGGCCTGACAAAGCCAACTGTACCTCTTTCCTCCTTGCCCGTCCTCCAGCATAACTCCTCTTTCTAGTCCCAGTTACAAAACAAAAACTCCACTGTATATGGATGAATACCAACAGATACGGCTGTGTGTATGTGGAGAGCGAAGAAGAGGGTTGTCTACGCAGGCAGCAATATACTAGAAATGCTTTGTCACACAAATACCCTTGAACTACACAGCAACCCCTAAGACAGGCAAAATCCGAGGAAATGAAGACTAAGACTTGGTTGCGATTTGTTCAGTATCTCAGAGGCAGGAAGTGTTGTAACAGAAACTGGAGCTCAATGTTTCTGATCTCAAGTCCAGTGATCTTTCTACTACTAATCTCGTGGCTAAGTGCTGTTCACCCTTGACCATTTCCGGGCCAGTTTATGGGAGGGAGGTAGTAGGAGCCTGTCTGGTTGGGCAGTTGGCCTAGTGTTAAAAATTTACCGTGGGTAAGAATCTGTATAGAGATGTGTAGAGATTATCAGAAACAATTCTAGGAAAGGGATCTCCAAAGTTTCTTTTAAAATGTGGGTGTGTAAAGACTGAGACGTGGGAATGGATAAGGTTGAGGGGAACAGTGTCCGGGAGCCTGTATTTACTAATTTACCTCTGTTGGTATTATTTGAAGCTTTTAGCAAGAGCTTGTATCACTTTTATAATTTTTTTTTTAATGTAAACATCCAGGAAAGAAAACAGTATTTGTATATGTAGTTATAAGGATGTGTTCATCTCATCAACTGGAAGCTAAATTTATTTTTCCTGTGAACTAATAATAGATAATGAAAACTAAAGCCTCAGGTCCAGTAAGTGGTTGTCATGAGAATTTTCATCCCTAGCAGGGGGCCCATATGACTCATGCAGGTACAGGAGGCTGTTTTCTCTCAGAATCTAACATAGCAGCCAGAATGATCCTTTTAAACCACAAATAAGATCATGCTACTTGCCTGATGTGAAACCCTTTTGTGACTTCCCATTACAACCATAGCAAATCCAAACCCCTTGCCCTGGCCTCTGAGGCCTTCCATACCCTTCACCTGGCCTATCTTGC